CCAAACGCATTTTCGAATGTGTGAGGCCACAGGATTGGTTTGCAGCGATCGACCTGAAGGACGCCTACTTTCATGTCTCCTTTCTCCCTCGACACAGACCGTTCCTACGGTTTGCTTCGAGGGGCAGGCATATCAGTACGCGGCTCTCCCATTCGGACTAGCCCTGTCTCCTCGCGTCTTCACGATGGTCGTCGAGGCAGCCCTTGTTCCCCTTCGGGAACACGGGGTTCGCATCCTAAACTATCTCGACGACTGGCTGATCCTAGCCCACTCTCGAGACCAGGTTTGCGAACACAGGGACTTAGTGCTCCGGCACTTAGCCCGTCTGGGCCTTCGGGTCAACTGGGAGAAGAGCAAACTTTGCCCCGTGCAGAGGATCTCTTTTCTCGGTATGGGCATCGACTCGGTCGCCACGTCCGCGCAGCTTACTAGCGAGCGCGCGCAGTCACTGCTGACTTGTCTGAGACAGTTTGAGGGCAAGAGTGCGGTTCCACTGAAACTTTTTCAGAGGCTCCTGGGGCATATGGCATCTGCAGCCGCGGCGACGCCGCTCAGATTGCTTCATATGAGACCGCTTCAGCTTTGGCTTCGCGACCGAGTCCCGAGGTGGGCATGGCAACACGGCACTCTCCGAGTACTAGTTACTCCGACCTGCCGTCAGAACCTTCACCCCGTGGTCGAACCTCAGTTTCTACGGGCCAGAGTGCCCCTGGAACAAGCTTCCCGGCATGTTGTTGTAACAACAGATGCCTCTGCCACGGGCTGGGGCGCCATGTCCAATGCATGTGCTGCCGCGGGCTCCTGGACAGGACCCCACCGCCTATGGCACGTCAATTGCCTCGAGTTGCTGGCTGTACAGCTCGCCCTGCGCCGCTTCTGAGCCGTGCTCAGGGGCCAGCATGTACTAGTCCGATCAGACAATACCGTGACTGTAGCGTACATCAACCGTCAAGGTGGTCTGCGCTCCCGCCGTATGTCGCAACTCGCCCGCCACCACTTATGGAGTCAGAAGCATCTGAGGTTGCTTCGTGCCGTTTATATTCCTGGAGCCCTGAACTGTGCAGACGAGCTCTCACGGTTTCAGCCCCTCCCTGGAGAATGGCGACTCCATCCCCAGTCGGTTCAGCTGATTTGGGACCAGTTCGGGGACGCACAGATAGTTCTGTTTGCCTCTCACGACTCGACCCATTGCGCCCTGTATTATTCCCTGACCGAGGGCACACTCGGCACGGATGCACTGGCGCTTAGCTGGCCGCGGGGCCGCAAATATGCATTTCCCCCAGTGAGCCTTCTTGCGCAGACCCTGCGCAAGGTCAGGGAGGACGAGGAGCAGGTCTTGCTGGTTGCGCCGTATTGGCCCACCCGAACCTGGTTCTCCGAACTCATTCTCCTCGCGACAGCACCTCCTTGGCCCATACCTCTGAGGAAGGACCTACTTTCTCAGGGACGGGGCACCCTGTGGCACCCTCGTCCCGATCTCTGGAGGCTCCACGTGTGGCTCCTGGACGGGACGAGGCAGGTTTGAGTACCCTACCACCAGCGGTGGTGGCTACCATCACTTCCGCTAGAGCGTCGTCCACGAGACACGTCTACGCGTTGAAGTGGAACCTCTTCGTCAACTGGTGCTCTTCTCACCGAGTAGACCCCCGGAGATGTTCGAGAGACTGAATCCTCCTCGCCCTCCTCTCGTACCCTCTTGGGACCTCGCAGTGGTTCTATCTGCCCTGCGGAGTGCTCCCTTTGAGACTTTGCAGTCAGTCGAGCTTAACTTCCTGTCTATGAAGACAGCGCTTCTGACTGCATTGGCCTCCATCAAGAGGGTAGGGGACCTGCACGCATTCTCCGTTGACGAAGCGTGCCTGGAATTCGGGCCGGCCTTCTCTCACGTGATCCTGAGACCACGGCTTGGATATGTGCCCAAGGTTCCTACCATTCCCTTCCGGGACCAGGTGGTGAACCTGCAAGCGCTGCCCCTGGAGGAGGCAGACCCAGCCTTGGCACTGCTCTGTCCAGTACGTGCTCTCCGCATCTATGTAGACAGAACGCAGTGTTTCAGGACCTCAGACCAGCTCTTTGTCTGTTATGGTGGGAAGCTGAAGGGAAAGGCTCTCTTCCAAGCAAAGGTTGTCTCACTGGATAGTGGACGCCATTGCTTTGGCATACCAGCAGCAAGGTCGACCGTGCCCCCTTGGTGTGACCACCCACTCCACCCGGAGTGTGGCGTCCTCTTGGGCTCTAGTGCATGGCGCCTCGCTAACAGACATCTGCAGAGCTGCAGCCTGGGCGACACCCAACACATTCGCCAGATTCTACAATCTCCGAGTGGAGCCAGTGTCCTCTCATGTACTCGCTTCAACCAGCTAGTACCGGACCCGCTCAGATGTCTTCGCTTGCTCGCCATTCCACTCCACGGACTGGATACGTGCGATATTCTCCTCAGGTGAGCTTCCCCGAAAGCCCTGAGTTCCTCCAGCACTCCTGACGTCGGCGCCAGTGTCTATTGCCTGCGCGTCGGCTAGGTGCCTTCCGTGTGCATGGTCCCTCCCCTGAGTGACCCCCACATGTGTATTTCCACTGTAAGCCTCTCTGAGCATGTGTCTTTCCCTCGGCAAGCCACCTTGCCACCCCTGGGGTTGAAATATTCCACCTGCGGCTGGACACCCCAGTGTTCTCCATATGCATCCCTCCGGGTCATATGTGTATTCTTTAAGTCCCCCCCTCTGGGTTGGCAGTAATTGCATATTCCCCTAAAATCTGGGATATGCTCCCCAGTGTACCTTGGTATTCCTGTGCTAAATAGGAGTCCTTCGTCCGTGCTAGTCTCACGACAGGGATCTCAGATTTACACAGGGCACTGGAAGACAGCTGAGAAGGTGGCGTGATTAGACTGGTATCCCCATTCGTCGTCATCCGACGGAACTCGGAGTGACAACGAAAGGGAACGTCTCGGTTACGGATGTAACCCTCGTTCCCTGAGTAGGGAATGGAGACGGTCCGTCTTCCTGCCACTTTCCGCTGTACCTCGGGGATCGCCTGCTCCTCAGCGAAGAAACATGCCTGAATTGCTGCCAGCGTCCTCCTTAAATACCCACGAGGTGAGGCGGAGTTACGCTATGCAAATTCCGCAGACCCATGGCATTTCTTTGCCATTGGCTCGTTTTGTAGTACTCGAAGTCGATAGGCTTCCTAAGCGGAAACCCCCATTCGTCGTCATGTCTCCGTCCCCTACTCAGGGAACGAGGGTTACATCCGTAACCGAGACGATTTCTGTATGAATTTCTTATAAAATATAATCTGATTTTCTTCAGAATTACTATTAACAAAATATTCAACAACAACAAAAAATTCAGTTCATTTGACATTCATACAGAAATTCAGGCTCTGTATATTCAAATATAGTGCAGCACAGGAGGAACCGAGAAAACCTTTTTTTTATTTAGTAACTATAAAGTGATGTGATGAAAAGATAAGGTAGTTTTACCAGCTGTGAGCTGCGATAGAGTCACTGTTGCAGGCCTCATTTAGACGGTTCCCTAAAAATGTACAAATCGTATGGCAAATAACAATCACTGAAAAGAAACACTTCATGCATAACCGTATGCACCTCTTTATTCTGTAAACAGTTTTACAGCAAAAACATTTCCCACTACCATTACCATCTGAACTTCAGCCATTAAAACTTTAAAAAAAGGCAAAATACATTCATTATTACATTTATCTCTGTTGCACTTTTTGTTACAATTTAGTGGTCAGTGACAAACTTCTGCACTCTGCCTTAGTTAAGTAGTTAAGTGTACTAGAGTTTTTGCATTGGACAGTTCAAAAAAGCACAGGGTCTGTGAAAACTAAATGTGCAAGCAGTTTTGCCTGACAGCATAGAGTTTGACACAATTGCAATATGATTCAGATCAAAAACACATATTACAGACCTTAAAATGACAAACCTTCACTCACCTTACTGCATTACATACAACTAAGATGGCCTGCACTTTTCTTTAAATAGCAACACTTTTTAAGAATTACAGACAATACAGGCATTTTGTTTACTAAAGGTATCCTCCATTAAAATGTATAAATAACAGTGAAACTCTCAAACAAATCAGAAACAATGGGCCAAGAGTCCTAACCCTAATGACAAACAAAATAAATTAAAGACTTTAAAAAAGCAGATCATAACAAAAATGATGAGCATTAATACAACTACTCTATCAGTACAACTCTATTTAACATCTGTACAGTGTTTAAGTCAAGTATGATCTTAAAATGCAAATGGATAGTTACATGACTACTTTAAAAGATAAGACAAAATAAGAATATTATTACAAATGAGCTTCGACTGTAACTCTCACATTCAACACTGAACTACATTCTTCTGATGAATATTCATTCTTATGACAAATTATATTCGTGTGAAATGTGCCAGGTCTTCAACATTAACCTGATGTGCCATAACAGTAGATCAGTCCCAAAAAACTCAGTTCCTGACATCGTTCCCTCTGTCAGCATGTTTTCTTGGAGCTGGATTCAGGAATATCTTGATAAAATATCAATCATTTTAATGATAAAATGATTTGATTGATTGTATACTAACATATTACTACACATATAATACAATAACTCTTACAGATAAATGTATTCATCTATTCATTTTAAGTAGCAAGCACCTCATTATCTCTAAAATAGTTTTCTGTCTCTTTCTCCGCTGATAACCCAAGGTTTTTTAATCTAAAACAAACATCCAACAAATTTACAAGAATGCTAGACTATAAAAGTAAAATATAGTAGTAATATGTATTCTGTATCTAGTATTATAATGTTTAATATTATAATATTTGAATGGTTCAATTAATTTGTTAAACATCTGTGTAGTCTATATCATAATTTGAAGATAACATTTACAATTTTGTGTAATTGTATTACAAATATTTGAATTCTTCGTCAGTTTTTTCTAAAGAACCATCTTAAGAAAAAAAGAAAAGAAAAAAAGATTCTTAAGAATTCTTGTTGGTAAGACACAATATTCTTAACATACCTTAAAACAGAAAATAAGGAGAAAATAAAAGCTAGGAGTTTTATTAAGAAAGTTTCGTGAATCCAGCCCCAGATCTTTAGATGACTGAGCAGGCGACTCAAGAGTCTTTATTGAATGGTCAAATGGGCATATTATGTACATGTTCAAATAAAGGTAAAAAAAATGAAAAGTGAGCAGAAACAGCTGTCATGTTGTGAAGAAGGTATTACAGTATTGCTTTATCTATTAAAAGAAAAGGCAAAGCCTAACTGATCAAAATGAATATGCTCTTTAGAAATGACACTCCACACGATTAAGCAGGAAATCAGGCCTGATAGTTTCCAGATGTACCTTTTTTTGAAACCTCCAAATCACCTTAAAGAACCTTCAACCTTTCACTCTTCCGCTCTCTTTCTTCTGCTCTCCCTTCCTCAATTCCTCTGGAAGTGCAAATTTCTCCATCGCCTCCCTTTCAAATTCCTCCATCTCATCGTCATCATCTTCATCGCTCTCCTCTCCCTCGCTGTCGCTCTCTTCACCTTCCGCCAGGTCTTCTAGAATGTCCCCCACGTCGTCCACGAACTCACTGAACGGAATCTGATCATGAGCGAACACTCCATCCGTGAAGAACTCCTTCACCAGCTTATGGAGCTCTTCTTCCCTGGAGGTCTGGTCCTGGGGATCCGGGAGCTTGTTCATGTAGGATTGGAGAAGTGTTTGGAAGTCCCGCAGGCCGACAGGAGCGAGTCCCTCGACTCGAGCGCAGTCTGCCACGCCGCTGCACGTGTCCCGCTGCCCGTTATAGTGCTGGATCCGCTCTCTCTGCTTGCTCCAGTAGTTCTCATGCTCGGAGTGGTGATGGGAGGTTGTCTCGTCTGGTTTCTCCTTCCGCTGTTTCTCCTTTTCACTAGGACTCTTTTTCCCCTCATTTTGATGGTAGAATGCCTTGGTTTTTTTCTCCTCCTTTATTCCCTCTTTTTTCCACTCTTCATCTTTTGACTCCCTTTCTTTCTCCCTCCAATGCTTTTCCTTATCTTTTCCACCATCCTCTTTGGGAAACTCTCTCTCTCCTTTCCGTTTTTTCTCCGTTTTATCATTGTGTTTTCCCTCACTCTTTTCCTTTCTCCACTCCTTTTCACCTTTCCATTCATCTTTCCATTCTTTATGATCATTCACACTCTGTTTATCGCTTTTCCAGTCTTTGTCCTCTTTCCATTCCCCTTTGGGTTTCCATTCCTTTTCCTCTTTCCCTTTCTTTTTCCCAGTATCCTTCCAGTCTTTTTTGTCTCCCCTCCTCTCATCCTGTCCTACATGTTTGTCTTTCTTCCCCTTTTTATCTTCCTTCCATTCTTTTTTCTCCTCCCACTCTTTAAAATTTTTCTTGTCTTCACCTTCTTTCCCTATTTTACCATCACCTCGTTTTTTGTCCTTCATCCACTCTTTTCTCTTCCCAGCTTTACCTTCTTCCTGGTGGCTTTTATCTTTTTTCCAGTCTTTCTGTTCCTTAGTATGTTCTCCCTCAGTGCCTCTCTTGCTCCTTTCTTTGTCATCTTCCTTTTTTCCACTTTTCTTTTTCCTTTCTTTGTCTCCATTGCTTTGTTCTTTCTCCACACTCTTTTTGTCCCAAGTCTTCCTGTACTTCTTGTCTTGTCTGTCTATGGGCAGTACATCTCTTTTGTTTCCAGCAGGGGGAACTCGAGAGGCTGCAACGAGATGCACAGGTTCTGCTCTTTCTGGAAGAGAGTTAAGATGGAGTTTATAGTAATATGTTGGATTAAATATTTCATGAGCATTGCATTTTTAAGAAGTGCATCAAGTTAAAGAGATGCATATGCTACTGGATTGTAAATTCACAGAGCACATGCGTTTCAGTGATGGATCGTTGCTGATGTGCGTTTACCGCACCTGTGCTCTGTGTGAGCTGTGAAACTTTTGCTCTCAGATGCTCCAGTTCACTCTGCAGTGATGGCAGGGCCTCCAGCTCTTTCTTTGCTCTCACATTTTCTTCTTTCATTCTCTTGTTCTCTTGCTCCAGCTCCTTCTGAAGAGCAGGTAGCCTGTCTAGTTCTCCTTTTATCCTCTGGTACTCCTCCTCCAGCTCTTCTCTCCTCACACGCTCTTTCTCTCCATCCTCTGCCTGAAGCTGCGCTGCTTTCAGTTCACCTTGATGTTGCTGAGTTTACAAATGAAATGGGCAAATGATGAACAGTGAACAACTGAAACACTTTAAAGGGGTCATACATTGGAAATCTAAAGTTTCCCTGCTCCTTTGAATTATAAAAGAGAATGATGCAATACAGAAATAGCCTTATTACATGTAACAGTCATTCAAAAGTAAATTGCAACAGCGTTTGTACCCAGAGACCTTTAGGAACAGAATAAGAGATGATTTACATATACTGTATACACATAAATGTAGTGCACTTAAAACAGCTTATTTACTTGTAAGGGTCAAAGAAAAAGTGAAAAAAACATTCATGCAAGACAAAATTAGAACTGTTATTGGTTAAAAAAACCTTGAGAAATATTATAAATGGACTTCAGGATTTTTTTGGACTTTATTTAGCGCAGATCTGCACATGTCTGTACCTGAAGTTGTGCCTGTAGTACCAATATTTGCTGATCTTCCTTTGCCTGTTTGCTTAAAATATCTGGAGGCTGAAGATCAACAGGCGTGTCTCTGGAGACTTCAGGGTTCAGCCACTCCTATCACACACAAATACATCCACAATTCAAAAGGCTATATAATACTGACTAAGATATAAATTGTAGGTCTGAAAAATCACACATAAAACAGAAGAGCAAATGATCAGACCTGATTTGTTGGATCCTTCAGCTCTTTAACATCCATGTCTGCTTCTGAGAGGAAAACAACATGACCAAAGCTCACTTGATAATACATCGTAAAAAAAAAAAAGGAAAAAAAAAAGCAACACATCAATGTGAAGAAGATGGGGAAGGAAACATGAAGCCGTAACATTCAAACAATAGGGATAGAAGGATCACACAAAGCATGCGGTTGCAGCACTGCATGCAATGTTCAGAATTGAATCTGTAATCTTCCGATTAGTTTTCTAAATGTATGCATCATTCATGTCACTAATCTGATATGGTGTTTCAATCTTTCAAAGTTGTTCAGAGTTGTTGTGCATCCACTGACATTGCAGGATATTAAAATGCTGCACAAACAATTTCAAACGCAACTGCCAGGCGTTACTGTAAAAAAAAAAAAGAGACTTCAAAATGGAAACATTATTTAGTGCCAAGAAAAAAACTCTCAATTTAACATTAAGTATTATTCAAAATAAGAATATTAAGCACACAAAAAATAATGCACTTATTATTAGATGTAATGAAGCATTCAAATGTTTTATTAAATGTCTGATATAAAAAAAATATAGGCAGTTATTAAAATGTTTTGTGGGGTGGTGAAAATATTTCAGGCTATAAAATATTTTGAGTCACATACAGTGAGAGATATAATGAGCTTGTATCAGTGGTTCTCAACCAGGGCGCTGGAGCACACTATGGTGCTTCAAGATATCTCAAAATGATGGAAAATAAGACAACAATCATTAAAATAAGCTAAAAACAAAATAATAATAATGAATTAACCGTCTTTTTTTGTCTTGCCAGGTACAGTACAGTACGAGGCAGCCTAAGTTTAAATATCTGATTTCTAGACATTGAAAAGTGTATATTGATACAACCTGTAATGGGCATTTTAATGCATAATAAGAATATAAAGCTTTCTAGATTTGCTAAGCTCTAAAATATTTTATCAGGTAGAAATTTGCCATTAAAAAAAAAGAAGAAAAAATTCCTTATCCTTAATCTGATGGTGGAGGCTTGGAGTCAAAAAGGTTGAGAACCAGTGGTTTATATTTAGCAAATATTCATTATAGCACAAAAGCGGCAACAGCAAATTACTTTGAGATAAATTATCTTTCAGCTCAACACACACACACGTTTCCATGTTTTATGGGGACTTAGACAATGATTTTTATACTGTACAAACTGTATATTCTATCCCCTCACACTAACCTTACCCCTAAGCCTACCCATTACAGAAAACCTTCTGCATTTTTACCTTTTCAAAACACTTAATTTAGTATGATTTATAAGCAGCTTTCCTCATGGGGACCAAAAAATTCCCCATAAGGTCAAAATTGACTGGTATTACTATCCTGGTTGGTCCCAATAACGTAGGGAATACCAGGCGCTCACACACGCACACTTGCATACACTCTCTCTCTTCCTACCATCATCCAGGTCCATGAGAACACCTGTGGAACAACACACCTCAGTCTCAGACACAGGAACATATTCAAATTCACTATCTGATTTAGGCCACTGCATGGGTACATTTCGGTCACATGACCCCTTTTATGAAACCATATTCAATATCAGTTTGTCCAGGAGTCTTTGGAGAATTTGACTATAACCATCATTATGAATGTGTGGTATCATCATTTATAAATGATGACCATCATTATCTCAAACAAACACATTTCTAATATGTAGTACTAATAACTGCAGCATCGTCTTTACTAGATGATCCAACTTATGAAAAAAAAAATGAAAAAAAAAAAAAAATGAAAAAAAAAAGGTATTCACACTTAAACAGAAAGTTTTAGGATTTTTTTTCTTCCAATTTTCCATTTTTCAATTTTATTTTTTCAATTTTAATTTGCAATGATACATTTTATTTAAAATTTTAGTGCTGAATATGGTAATTAAATAAGTTTCTAAAGGCCAATTCACACCGCACAGACAAACGGCAACAAACAAGTTGGCCATTGGATTTAGAATTTTCTGAAAAAATAACTGTCACGTTCACACAGCCCCAACAGACACCGACACATGCCGATTGATCATGGTCGGGGTTTGTTTTCACCCCACTAAACAACACCAACAGACGCCGACAGGGGAAACACAATGATCCAGCAAAACCCAACAAACGTGTATGTTGCCGTTTGTCCATGCGGTGTGAATTAGCCTTAAGTATTAAAAATATACATTTATTATTATTTGATTATCTGAACATGCTAGGTACTGCATTTATAATGAATCCAGAGAATACAGCAATCTTTAGACCAAAAGCCTCAAATAATTTTTTTTTAAAAAGAGTGTGAAAACAGGAGCCTCATGCTCACCCGAGAAAAAAATGGTTCCTAGTCCTAGAAGAATGACAGATGCAAGGATGCACTTATTCAAGGAAAAGACGGTTTCCTCTTCTCTTTGAGGGAGCTGAAAGTCTTCCTCCTCTCCCTCTTCATCATCCTCTGCCTCGGTCTTGTCCAAAGAGCCCAGGTGGGAGATTTTTCTCTTTCGTAAACCATCCCCCTCCTTCCTGTTTGTTTCCAACACTCCTTTAGGCTCTACACAAAAACAGGACATACGATTATATTCAGTAGATATTAAAAACATGATTTTTTTCTAAACACGAAAAAAAGCAATCTTTATACAGCTGGTTAGTACAGCAGCCATGTCTGTTTTTTAGGGGGGCCTTTATGGATGTTTTATATGTGTGTGTAAAATAGCTAACGTTATTTGCACAAGTAGGTATAACTACTATGATTAACTATTCACTGTCCTCTGATTGTAGGGTTAGGGATGTCTGGTGAATCGAGGCTCTACTCGTGTACTGAGGCGAAGGCTCTATTTCTGGAACTCCCCACAGTCACTTCATCAGTCTGGTCTGCAGCTTCAGTCACTGCACATTAGCAAGACGACTAAAACTCGCCATACTGAAGCATTTCCAAATGAGATTATCATACATTTACAATACCGTTTAAAGGGGGGGGGGGGATTTTTTTGGAAAGAAATTAATACTTTTATTCAGCAGGGATCCATTAAATATATCATAAGTGACAGTAAAGACATAATATGTGACCTGATCCAGCAAAATGAGTCACAGTGACCCAAATTAAAAAATTGAGATTTTGGTATTAATGGAAAGAGGAGACCTTAAGCTTTCAATTGATATCCTAGTCAAAGTCATACCTTGAATGGTTGTAAAGATATACACATTTGAATTATGGTCGTCTGCCCTCTTTTTCCAATTGAAAACCTGAGAAAATCGCTTTTAAAGTTTTTTTGCCCGTTTTTTGTTGATATCTTTCAAAATCCATTACATTTAAAGGGATAAACTATTTATTTTACAGCTTAATTTGACCAAAGACATTAATATATAAATGCTATTAAACCAGGCTGAAGCTCAAATTATTTTAAAGTTTTTATTTGAATAAATAATTTAACAGTAGGCCTACCTTTTACAAAAATTTACTAAAATCAGAAAGATTGAACAGAGGTGCTACATTGCTTGAGAGTGTGTGTGTGTGTGTGTGTGTGTGTGTGTGTGTGTGTGTGTGTGTGTGTGTGTGTGTGAGAGAGAGAGTGAGAGAGAAAGTGAGAGGCAGAGAGACAAGGAAACAGATCAAATAATGCTAGTCTATGCAATTTATATCTTAGTGTAGGCTAGTTGACAATAACAGCCTAACAAATTTATAACGGAGATACCAACAAATATTGGGTTAATCAAACACATTAATGAATTCTCCTTGCAGATAAATAGCTACACTCATTCACATTTGTCAATCACGTTATGTCAATCACGCGTGCACACTACGACACTTTCATCCGTTATATAAAAACAATCGTAAGTTTTTCGCATCCGTAGCAAGCAGTTTGAATGGTGTTTTGACAATTCGGAGCCACCGAATCAATACGAAAAAACGCATACGAAAAAAACCCGGACTCAGTGTGCAATGGCCAGGGGGCTTGATGACGCTTTGGCAACTTTGCTCGCTTTTGACAGCGACATTTCTCAAATTAATAATATTTAATCTTTCTGAGGAGATCTGCTAGCTTGTTTATTACACAGAGCGCTCGCTGCGAGTCTGACAGGAGGGTGGCTGGACCAATCGCGTGCCGGTCAGTCGAAACGGCTTCCCATCGACAAATGATCAGCGTTGGTGTACATTTCTAAGCTTTTTGATTGGTTCTATACAACGTGTAACACCATTTAAAGAGCAGAGATAGTGACGTTTCAGGGGATACCCGGGAAATGCTCAGAGATGACGCGAGGAGTTGAGAAAAGCAATGTTCATTTCCAGCGAATTTAGTAAAACTTTGTAAACTTTAATAGTAATTTAGATACCTTTACTCAATTATCTGGACTACGAAACTTTGGGAGATTATTTTTGAATGTCTGTTCTTTGAAATTAGCACAAAAAAAAAATTCTATTATTTAATTGTTTTTCCACATAATCGGCCCATATCTTAAAATAGAACGTTGCGACTTCCGACTCATTTCGCCAGATCGGGTCACATATTTCAAATTTCTGTTTCAAATAAATAGTGTTCTTTAGAACTTCCTTTCCATCAAAGGATCCTGAAACAAAAAAAACGTATCATGATTTCCATGAGCACAACTGTTTAATTGAGCAGCAAATCATTAGAATGAGGTAACACTTTACAATAAGGTTTCATTAGTTACCTACTTTAGTTAACATAAACAAAAAATGAACAATCCTTCGATAGCATTTATTAACCTTAGTTAATGTTAATTTAAACATCTACTAATACATTATTAAGATCAAAAGTTGTTTTTTGTTAAAATTAGTTAATGCACTGTGAACAACTGTATTTTTATTAACTAACATTAACAAAGATGAATAAATGAAATACTGTAACAAACGATTTGCTCGTTGTTAGTTCATGGCAGTTAATACATCAACTAATGATAACAAATGAGACCTTATTGTAAAGCGTTACCTAGACTGATTTCTGAAGGATCATGTGAAAAAAAATCTGCTTTGACATCACAGGAATAAACTACAATTTAAAATGTATTACAATAGAAAATAATCATTTTAAATTGTAATATTTCACAATATTACTATTTTACTGTATTTTTAAACAAATAAATGCAGCCTTTGGAAGTATTAAAAAAAACATCTTTCAAAAACAGCCTTTTGAACGGTATGTGTACTGTATGTTGTGTTACACAAGCTGCTTAAAGCAGTCCTACAATGATTTTTTCTGTAGCCATATCCTTCCTTCAAATGACTTATAAAGACCGTAAATTTAATAAACTAAAGACAAACCATCATGCACCATCTGAGACCACTTAAAAAGATTTGGGCAATAAATACAGAATGAAGTCCGTAGTGTTTTCAGGATGCAGGAACAAGCAAACATTCTCTTAAACCAGAGGGAAAAAGCATAGACAATGATGCATCCGAAATGTAATCAGAGTTGACACGCTGTATATATAAAGAACAACATTAAACAGAAATCAAGCTGTCAAGCTGCCACCAGTCATCATGCAAGTCCATCATCATTCCATAACAGACCTGCCAACTGTAGTTAAGCTCCATTTTGACCACCACCAACACTTTCAAATGTACACATACACAAAACATAGAGAAATCAAATATAAATATACTGAGGAAAAAGTATGTGGCACTACCATTTATGTTGTATATAACTCACCTTCAGTTTTCCTCAGAGACTCTCTTTCCTGACAAACTGAAGCAGGAAGTGGACTTGATCCAGAGGTAGGACCTATGTGAGTATATGAGTCAGAGAATGAATCAACATCAGTGCCAGGAGAAACTGGGCTCTCCGAGTGGCCTGTAAGGGCCTCTCGTTCCTCATGGTCAGGGGTCCAGGAGCTGACATCCTCAACAGTGGCACTGACAGAGATGGGGTCTTCATTGACATGTGCTGCATTCAGCTGGGCCCGACCATCATTCGTCTCTGGAGACGTTACCTGGCAAACATTTGGTAGATCAACAAAATTCTGTTACTATTTGACATTAAAGGAATAAGAAAAGTGCATGAGGAAATGACCGAAATGTCATTTTTGGGTGACCTAAAAGTCATAAAGTAATATTTATTATGGCAATTAGGATATGAGATCATCTAAAGCATTTATTCAAGGAAGGACACCTGAGTTTCCTGAGCTTGCTCTGACCCATGGGTGAGAGCTGGGTCAGACTGCAACTGTGATGATGTCTCTGTCTCTGGCTGGTGAGCAGATACTTCAGAGGAGTGCTTCTCCAGGTCACTGTTGGCCTCCGATGAGGGCTCAGGTGCTTTAGAAAGCTGCCCCTCGACCTTATGACCTTCAGCTACCGGACCCACATTCTCAGCTCCAGACTCCTGCACATGAAAAGTGTCTCTGTCAAACAAACCTAATCTCTATAATTTTAGCATCGTCTTGACACAATATCCTACAACGAGAGTAATTGGGTTGTGGGTCAGTGAACTTAAAGGAATAGCCTAGTTCACTTCAAAATGAAAATTCTGTCATCAATTACTCACCCACAAGTTGTTTCAAATCTATATGAATTTCTTCTACAACCAAACAGTTGATGGACCCCATTGACTTCCATAGTATTTTTTTTCCTACTATGAAAGTCAATGGGGCCCATCAACTGTCTGGTTGCCGACATTCTTCAAAATATCTTCCTTTGCGTTCAGCAGAAGACAGAATCAAAATATCCTAAAACCACTTGCGCACAGTGTTATTTATTTCAATTGTGTGCTTACATTATGCTAAATGTTTCCAAGAATTTGTAAATTCAGAGAAATTCACAATTTTAAATAGTGCCCGTCCCTTGTAACTTGTCGCCTGTCAATGACGTAATATCCACGTTAACCCTGGTTTCCGCTTGTACTGCCATAGTAACAATGGCGACAAACGTGGACAACCACGTTACGTCTAGCGGCACACTCACGCTGTTGTGGTTTCGTTTAAACATTATAGAGCGTGACAAGCAGACTTTGGGACAAAAGGAGAAATAAAACGAGGATCAATATCGGCACAGCGTTTTCGAGATGCCGAGAGCTCCACATCCGCGACTAACTTAGACTTGACAGAGGTTCATGAGTCACGACTTGACCGGGACGCCGCTCTTGCATGTCCTTTATTAGACAGGTGAGCAAATGTACATAAAACGAATCAATGTTATATAGCTCAACATGATGAAATGTTAGAATATGATCAGTATGTTATTCTAATGTTGATCTAGCTTACTGCTAGTCTCATATAGCCAACAAACTAACACATAGAATAACATTATAACTTTCAACACACTCAAATGCAGTTACGTGTGATAGTGAAGTAGACCAAGTGAAACAGCGCTGCGTTACCTCACAAGTTTCATTCGTCTAATAAAACTGACCAGTGTGATAGTAATTCAGCACTTGCGGATAGTTCGGTAGAATGAAATGTCCTTATTCCTTTATATCCGTGAGACTTGCGTGTGGCGCTGATATCTGTCTCTTATTAGCAATCGCGCCCTGCTTCATACCACAGTCATGTTAAAAAACATGAATGTTTTCACTCATCCATAAACATTATTAGATCCATTGGCATGACGATAAGTTCCATGATTCTGCTTATTCACTGCGTCATCAACCTACGCCTTTGTTTTAAGAGGTTAGCGACCCCTAGCGGCGAAAAAAATTACATATTGTAGCTTTAAGGTCACTGCATGTATGATTTGCATTTTATTTTTGAATAAACCGATAGATTCAACGTAACGTCACTGACCCTTGTATCAAGACATGCAACAACATGATAATTTTCAAACCTCAGAGACTTCTGCCCCTGCTTCTGACACTGAAACGCACCTTTACCCCTGGGGTAAGAAGAGTCCAGCTGTTGCCACTGGCACTGTTGCTGTTTTCAGACATCGCCCCCTAGCGGCTCCGTCCAGCAACTGCAAAACACACAGTAAGTGTTCTTAAACACTTCAGAAAGTCATCAGCTCTATTTCAGTGACAAATCAACAGGCAATATAATAAAATGTAAGGGTTAACTAATATGTGTTGAGTTTCATTGCATGAGTCCAAAACAATAACATACTTAAAGGACATGTAAAAGACTTTGAACATGTAGGCCTATTATACTACTGTTTTGCATACATCACAAATGCTGTCTGTGCACATTAGTCACGTAACCCCAAATGAACAACGTTTATATAATAGAGATGGTGGAGAGCGAGTTCAATGAGGACGGTGACTCCACTACAGGCCTCTATGAGTGAAAAAAGTAGAGAAGGAAACAGTGAAAAGCTGGAGGTGAAGTGAAAGAGTTTTCACTTCATTAGTATTATCCATTGGTTGCACCACCGGTTCCCTTGCTGGCAAATATCTTGGCACAGAACTGTGTAACTAAGGATGTCAAGAGAAACAGCACTAAAGGCATTAATGCAAGAAGAGAATGGTGGAGTTATACTCCTGCTGACAGCACCGACAAAAACAAAGCAATGGACCTACTGTCACTACCAGAATACCAGTGAGAAAACCAAGACTGATGTGTTCTACTTTTCCAAGTGGGCCAAAGTCTAACAATCATTTACAGCAACTTATTCAAACATTTTCCATTTGTGCTAAATCTTATGAATATTCAGTAATCAGATTTTTAAGATCTGGCAAAAAGACCGAGCAAGAATGGGACCCTGTTAAGCCAAAATGGTGAATCTTAAAAGCAAATGTCAAAAATGAAAGAGGCCTAACCACAGTCGAACCACTTTGTGACACACTTCACTCTTTAATAAGGATCTTATTCCTTTCGCAGTAATTTGGGTCTGCTAATAATGTGACTCCCATGAGAGTTTTTTTTCAATGTAGCCATGAGCCATGAGAGTTGTTGAGAATATAGAAGAATGTCTGAAATAGATGGTAACAGCTAAAAATAACACAGAAAGAAGCACAAAGTGCACCTAAATGAACTGGTATTATCCGAGGATTCTGTTACAAAACTGAAAATACTGGTATTTAATATTTATATAAATGATAAATAAATAATTATAAATAGTATATTATAATACATTATTTTTTGTAAAGAATTTATTTAATATCACATTTTAAGTTCACAGACAAAAGCTTAACTTTCACAGGCTTCTTAAAATATTAATGTAATACAATAAAAGTAATTATACTCTGTAATTATGAATAATAACAATTACTGGTTATCATTTTACAGAAGTAACAATAACTGTACAATGGCATTTTGTGGAAAAATATGAGTACCATGGTAAATGTTTGAACTGTTAGATTATCCCTGAGTTTAACCATGTTAGCCCAGATTTGAAAGGAAAAGCTTCGTTCATCAGTTCGTCTGTCAGTCTTATCTCTCCCATCACCTCATCCTAAATAAAATGCCCATACAAGGACACATCTTGACGAGATGAAAACATCCGCACAACTATTATTACTTTCATGCGTCAAAAATAGTATACTGCACGCCATATGTTCTCTGTGTGTTTGTTTTGTTACACGCTACACTTCGGTGTACATTTTAAGCAGAGGCAGCGGTCAAAATAGGAGTGTTCAGTATAAAACCCTCAAGCAAATGTCCGAGGCGCAGTTTACATACATGCACATGCCGGAAATACAGAAACAAAAAACAAGCCGACGGGTTTCACAAATGTGAGTTTGGTTAAAATAAAAAATGTCTAAAAGTATCAAACAGAACCATACCTGGTAACTCTGAGGCACCTTTCCTTTCTTTAATACAGGTTTAATTTCCACCACTTTCTCGTGTCTTGTGCCAAGTTGCAAACTCCAGTGTGCATTTTTGTCTTGGAGTCGTGTTTGTCAGTAAAGTTTTCCGCCAATCAGCGCTTGCCGTTCAGCTATGTCCCGCCCACATGCTGCATTCTCCACCAATGACAGCATACTTTCTCCTCCGTCCTTCAAAGCACACCTTTTTTTGTGACTGACAAACACAGGTGACATGAAAATGAGGAGCATATGCTAAAACAAACGGGGAAAGGATCCGAACCTCCATCCGAATGTATTACGGTAGACTTGGTATATACGTATGGTTACGTAAAATCATAGAGGTGTCTTTTGTTTTTTGACAATTTTACAGATTCAAAACCAATTTCAAAATATATTTCTAGCAAAATAGTGGTTTGAGTCACTTGCTCTGATGAATATAATATTTTCCTAATAATAAAAACAGATCAACAACATATGTCTCTTAAAAAAATAATTTCGTGTTTGTGATGCTTTTTTATAGTTACTATTGGTTGCTTATTTGGATTCATGTTGTTTGTCTCGAAAACCTACTGATTTTTTTAAAAATAAATAAAAAAGAGACTACAATTTTATATATAAACTATAGTGACTATAAACTACTATAAACTATAGTTATCAAAAAATATACAATGACATTTAAAAAAAAAGAAGAAATCTATAGCCCTGGACTTTTGAAAGAGATCTGAGCCATATTTAGGCACCCTAATATCACTGTGCATGTGCTTATTTCACTTTTTGACTTTAGTAAGTAAGCAAGCAACCTCAGAATACCCCAACATTAACATTGCTACAACTACGTCATTAGCAACTGTACAAAAATGATGCCATATCAACCACCCAAAACACCCAGACATTATGCATGGTGACGGGTTTAGCATTATAGCGAGCGAGCACAGCCTACATCTTCTTCAGAAACTCTAATTCATGTGGTTCAGATAACATAATATTTTGAGTTTCTGTTGATATATCCTTCATTGTTTTAACTCAAACTTTTAATTCCAATGAACTCAAAATCTTAAGGAAACCAGGTTACTTTAAGTTAAACCAACAATATTATTTTACAGTGTACAGATAGATAAGTGACTCTACATTGACCTTGAGTGTAATACGTCCGTTTATTTTATTTATTCTGATAAAGCATATGATATGCTACTTCTTTAGATATGCTATGCTACTTATGCTACTTCACCATGCATTTTTTTCACCAACACATTTTGTAACCATTTATGTAAAATGTTTAGTATGTATTTTAATGAGCATATTTATGGCATACTGTATTTGTTCAACTTGTATTTGCATATGTATTGTTTTTTTTTATTTCATTACACAATAACAGTTTATACCATTTTAAACCATTAAAAAGAAAAACACCTTTTTCTGTTTATACACAATCAGTTTTTCTCTATATTATTTTTATTTATTGTACAATTTAACAATACTGCTTTAAAGCGCATTAATACAGCAGCCTCTGATGCTTGTTAGGCATGTGTGTGTTTATGCATGTGTGAAGAGATCTGGATTCAGGCCAACGTATCATCAACACAGCTGTGATGAATCATCCATTGGCTCAAAAACTCTAAAAAAAGAAAAAGACATAATAAATAACAATGTAAATCTGCTTTAGATATGATCTGGCAATTAATATACTGGTTTAGTGCCATGTACTAGTATTCAGAATAATACATTCAGCAGATTTTTGGGGTTGCATGGGGCGCCCCCTAACGGTAGCATCAGTAGACTGCACACAATTAAACAAGGTCAAGGCTAAATGTTTGTGAGCCCTCGCTCACATTTATTGTTTCAATAAATGTTTGAATCATCGATATAAATGAGCATTACATATTGCTTAACATTATTATCTTATAGTTCTTGAAACCTGACATTTCAATTACTTCATTGTGTGTAGTCATTTTGGTATTAAAACAAAGTTAAAACTTTTAAAACCGTTTCCGTAGTTGAAATAACGAATTATAAATATTTGATGAAAAACTTAAATGAAAATTAGAAATGTTGCAACGTGACAACTGAAATGTTATATTTTTAAGTAGGCCAACTAAAATGACTAAAACTCAAATAAAAAGAAATTAAAGCTAAATAAAAAAATACAAAAACTTAATTGAAATGACTGAAAATATAAAACTGGTAGCCAATTTTAAAATATGTATAAAATATAAATACTGAAATAACACTGATTGTATGCTATAATTGGTACATACTCACAATCATTTATTTTCTTAAAAAAATTGGTTCTACCTTTCTTTCTCAGTCCAGGATCTCTTTGATGCACCAGCAGCAGAGCAGGAAGTAGAGGCAGTCTTTAAGAGACTGGATAGTTCCATATGCCATATTTCCTCCCTGCATGCCTTTGTCACGGCCCATCCTCATGGCTGCATCTCCCAGATCTTGGCCCAGTGAGGAGGGCATGGCCCGGGGCAGCGGACGCTCTGGATTCATCTCTCTCCAACGCTCCACGGCCGACTGGAGAGCGCGAGCAATACTTGAAGGGAGGGACTGGAGGAGAGCGGGCCAGGTCCTTGTTTGCCGCTGCGCGTTGTGGGTCTCCACTTTTTCCTTCAACCGTAACCTCTCTTCTGAAGAAACCCTGAAGTGAACTGCCTTCCCACTCTATGCTCTGACAGGGATACACCCCAGTGCCCCCAGTAAAATAGGTTTTATTCAGCTGTGGAAAATGCCAGCTAACTGTTCACCTGCCATTACACAATGGCCTCACAACATCTCTCATCTACCTATTGTTCATCTCTAATTCCTCTACTGTTCACTGAAAGGTCCTGAATGACTGTCAAAATATTGCTCCATAGTGCACACACAAATACAGATAGTCTGTGCTCTAACAATGAGCAATATATGTTTCAAAGCATTTATTAATCTTTGTTAAAGTTAGTAAAAATCTATTTGTTCATTTCTTTACTTGTTTGTTGCATTAGAAAAACCTCATTTTGAAACCTTTATTATTAAGAGTGTAGTAAATGTATTAGTTACCATTAACATAAAATGCTGTAGAAGTATTGTTCATTGTTTGTTCATGTTAACTCACATAGTTTACTAATTTTAACAAAATGAAACCTTAATGTAAAGTATTACAGAATAATGTCACGGCCATTACAGCAATAAGAATCTGAGATCTGACACATTTAGGGCCTGTGAACCCCTTGAGCAATAGATTTATGCACATTATTTGAAGTTGTCTGGTATATAAAAGGGATCTAGATCAGAGCCGCTCAAATAAATGTCCGTTTTATCATTTAAAAGGATTTTGTGCTATACAAGGCAATAGGTAAAAATGAAATGCAGAAAGGTGAATGATATATATGTATTTATATATGTAATCTATCGTTTGATACAGGTGTAAACATTTATGTTTTCCCCAAAGAACAACAACATAAAACAAATTATTAAAATAATCAAAAACATGTATTTTGTTTTTAAAAAAAGAAGAGGCAACAATTATATAAGCAAATAAGAAAAAGATAGCCTTTGGCTTCGAAAATGGCAAACAACCAACCACAACACAAAAGTCACCATTACCACAATAACAGGAAGGGTTTCCATGCAACAAAAGGCCGCTGTGAAATATGAAAATGAGCAAACTGTTGAGTGGCGAGTCAGAGTTGTAATAGTCAGATTATTCCAGACCATTCCAGCCCTGTGTATGTACGCATCCACGCACACACAGACTCATAAACACACTTTGTTTAAACTCCATTACCAGAGTCACCAGATCTGTGGTGCCATCAGCACATAAAAACTGACATCAAATGATTAAAAAAAAAACATTCAATGCATAAATTTGAATTAGAACAGGCTAAAAATCACTTAAGCGTGAGGGCTGGTCACATACAGCTGCAGCTGGAATCCATCTGGATTTTATAATGTGGAATGAATGTTGACCAGTGACTCAAAACACACAACTTACATCCACTAAAAAGGCTAAAAATACAAGTTGCCCATTTTTGATTCATAAAGCATCCAGATAAAGGGCCTTTGTATATCTGACTAAGCAAATCCTCATCATTTACATAGACGTGTGTGATAAACACAATGTGATGGCGTTGTCTTCAGGGGAGCTAGTCAAATCTTACACCTTTTTTTTTTTTACCCAGTACAATCCTGCGAGTTTGCAAATTCCCAAGGGATACATTTGACACAGATCCACAAAGTAAATGACTGGTTTTAGACATAGCTATTAGCATAGGCAAAGCTTATTTACATGTTGTCTTACAGGGCATCTAATGTTGGTCTCCGAATAAGAGACAGAACAAGGTGTTTATTCACAAACGCAAGTTTAAGCAACATAACGTGATACTAACCGAATGTATTTAACCCACAGTACAGCACTAAACTAAGCACAGTAGCATAGCAGAATTAACGTGCGGAAGAAAATGAAGACTGCATTCCCAAAATCTGTACTAAGCCTCACTTAACTTGTGTCATTTTTGCAGTTGATTATTTTTTCAGAAAAGAATTACTTCTATCAAGTGTCATGATTAATCAAGTGTCATGATTACCCATAGGACCACAAAAGGCGACTGTGTTTTATCGTTGTGTCTGTGTTCGGTGAAAAAGGCACAATCAATTTCAGGGCAAACAAAGATGAAAAAAAGTGGTTTCCTGTTTGTGGCTTCAACAAAAAACTGCACTTGTGGCTGCAAAGACACGTTCAAATTTCGTTTGGAGTGCTCTTCCTCTTCCTGGATGGACTGTCCCCTTGCAATATTCAAATGCAGAGTAATTATAGTGAACCTTAAAAAAAAGATACACATCATATCCTCCCACTTTCTCTTGTAACAAGGCTCTGAACATACTGAAGCAGCTGAAACTTCCGATACACGTGCAAATTGATAGTCAATGCGAATAGAGGAAAAGACAAAGAAAAATAGAACCTCCATTTCCCAGAATAAAACCATCCGGACGATAATGTCGTCAGCTGATCAACGAGATTACATCATTGCAACAAATATATAAATTCCTGGTTAAAATTACATCATAATTAGGCTTTAAACTGTCTGATATCAAACCGCAGTCCCTCAGTCCCATTCCGGCTTACTCATCCATGTTGACAGATTGCACTTCATAATTTTTTTTGTCCCTTTTCTCCCAGGCTGATATATATATGATGTTATGTGGAAAGGGAATGTTCCCTTTTTCCACACACTAGTTCGTACTACCTCATAACGGGCAGCAAAAGTTCCTCACAGCGTCTGCTTAATTGCATAAGGAAAAATCCACACAGCTTCCTTGCTGCTAAAGCTTTCACATATGTTCAGGGGTGTTCCCAAAAAAGCCCAAATTCCCAATTTTCCTAGGGGATCATGTTCGGAATTCTGTAAAGGGTTTTGTGAGGGTGAGAATAAGAGGCATTTTGAGTGTTATCCCTTGATGGGAACACTGGAAATTCCGGAAGGAATTACAAAGGATGAGATTAATTTGATGTGGACGGTGACATCTGTGATGAAAGAATGAGTGCTGTATTCTCTTTAAAGTTTTGCATATTCATCAAACAGTCTTGAGACCACGGCAATGCGAGGATTTACAAACCGACCACAACAAAACGGCTCTCTGAAAATGAACGACCAATATGAAGCTCGAGTCTTTGGATTTCGCCCAATGCACTAGATGTGAATCTTTAGAGTGCTATAAAGGTTCTGCAGTTTTAGTACATTCACATCAACTCTCGACTCTAAAAATGCCTGGGGCTGTTGCCATGGTTACAGGTGCACGCACCCCAGTCTTAATTCAAGACATGATATTGTGTTGGGGAAGTGATGTCATATCCATTACGCTTCAGCTTCTCTTTCAGACGCCTTATCGTTTGGCTTTTTGTAATCGGTTATTTCAAGTAGAATGATTGCATCGCTTCTTAATTTCATGGCCGGTGGTTGATGCGGTACAAAATTCTGTGTTTCTGTGAAGATATGATTAGCTTACACTCCCATTTTGGAAAAAAGTATTTCTCTAAAAGAGTCTGGCTAAAAAAAAAAAAAAAAAGGGAGAGGGAAAGGGAGGAGTTTTTTTCTCTAAAAAGGGTGGTGGAGAAAAATCGGCCTTTTTTCTCAAGCTCGGCGATCGACTGGCTGCTGCAGACACACCTCGCTTCCTGCTGAGATGATTGGCAGGCGGTTGTCCATGTGATAGCTAATCAAGTGACTGACACTCTCGAAGCGGTGGTCTTTGGTGCGCACCTACAAAATTGTGAAAGGAAAGATACAGAATTTAAATAGTCATATTAATGTTAAAGAATTATAAAACGTTTTAATAAGGACCATCATCTTACTCACCACTCCCTCAGGATCCACCAGAAGCAGGTGTTTGGCTTGGCTGCCCTGCTGTCCAGTGAGGACGTACTGGCCTGGTGTGGTGCCTGACTCCCGCACCAGGAAGTCTCCATCCTTGGTCAGGAGTCTTTCGGCCTGCCTGCGGCTTAGAGGTCCATGGAACCAGGGCTCGTTCTGCAACTGCTCTGCCAGAGGGGGCGCCACTGCTCCCGACACTCCTAAAGCAGCATCAAATGGCTCTAAAAGACCGAAATCTTTGGTGAATTTACTTTCAGTTTTTCTATCTAGCATCTATAACTGTACTACTAAAAAGGTCTTTTACACTTGAAATAGTTAACCCTGGATCATTCTAATCCCCGGGTAAACGGAATCCTGGGTTATCCTGCTTCTTAATTTACCCGGGGTTAACAATTAGTTCTGTGTATTCATAAGCTGATGTTTCACATTCCTAAACCCTGGGTTAACAGTCTTATTTGCATTTTTGCGGTGTCGGTGTCATTGATTGGATGAACGCAGCACGTGACCTGTTTACATAAAAGCTCTAGCATTATTGCCGACTGTACTATCGAGTTTATATTGAATGGACATTTTGGACTATAAAGGTAAGAATGAAAGTGTCTTCACTCAAAAGGGCTTTTCACACTGCTCAACCCCGGGTTATCGTCGTTCAGAAACAGCTTTTAAACCCAGGTAAAGGAGAGTTTCACACTTTTAATTTAGATGTAGGGTCAGCACCGCTTTTGCGGTGTTAAATCCACATTGCGGTGCCAAACTTGTACAGTGTGAAATGATGCGGTGTTGAAACGTTACTACGAGATGCTTAGCAACCGATAACCAATCGCGTGCCTTATGTTCACACGCTTTGGACAGTCACGGAAACACTGCACGATGTATATAAACAGTCGTCTCTACGTTTGATAGGAAAAGTGTCAAACGGCGATAGAAAACGCGACAGTTTGAGTGAAGAAGAGACCGTTTCATTCTTACCTTTATAGTTTGAAAAGTTCACTCAGAAAAAAAACTTGATATTACACTCAGCAACGTGTAATATGAGGATGCGCAAGGCTAGAGCCTTTATGTAAACAGATCACGTGCTGCGTTTGTCCAGTCAGTAACACTGACACTGCAAATAAGGACTTTAACCCGGGGTTAAGGAATGTGCAGTGTGAAACGGCAGTTTATGAATACCCAGGATTAACTTTTAACCTTGGGTATATATGAGCAGTGTGAAACTTGAAATAAGTAAATAAAGATAACCCAGGATTCTGTTTAGCCGGGGTTTAAAATGATCCACTATTTCAAGTGCGAAAAACCCTAAATCGTCTATTTCATCGTGTTTCCGTGACTGTCCAAAGCACGCAAATACGAGTCTCAAATGGTTGTCGGTTGCTAAGCATCTAGCTGTAACATTCTAACATCAAGTCAAGTCACCTTTATTTATATGGCGCTTTTTACAATACAGATTGTTTCAAAGCAGCTTTACAGAGATAACAGGAAAATAATGTTGTAATAATATTGTTAAATATAAAATTAAATGTCCCCAACTAAGCAAGCCAAAAGCCAATGGCAACAAAGGTGAAGAAAGGCGAAAAAGGCGACAGTGGCAAGGAACCAAAACTCCATCAGGTGACAGAATGGAGGAAAAAAAAAAAACCTTGGGAGAAACCCAGGCTCAGTCAGGGGGCCAGTTCTCCTCTGGCCAACGAACGAACAGTGTATGATTATGATCACATTGTTTTACACTGTACAAGTTTGGCACTGCAATGTGGGGTTAACAACTGATTAATTTTTTGACAAATCAGACTGTACGAATTAATTAATTGAAAACATTGATTCAAGCATTTGTATGCGTCATCATTTCAAAATAAAAGAGCCTGAGTGGAATTTGTAATGTATTAAAATGTTTTTATGTACGGCTGTTTATTGCTATTCTTATATTGATGCACACACAAAATAAATAAATAACACATTCTTCCTTGTGTTCAATTAATGAAACATTGTGGAAAAATTCTTAGATTATTTTTTTATATATTTTGCTGTATTTTATTGTTATAGTGATGCATACAAAAAAATGATAAAAAAAAATCTTGTGTTCATTTACTGAAAAAGTATGGAGAACATGTTTTGAATATTTAAAAATGTGCTACTTTAAGCCATTTTAGAGCAGATACATAAATATCAAATATCATCAAAATGTCTTTTTGTTACACTATATCATCCAGCAAGTGTTACTCACTCATGTCAAACGCATCTCTATGAGCATTTCCATTGGCTGCTGCTGCCGCCCCTGCTGGGAGGCGGGGTTTATCCACATTGACGTATGAGGGGTCATCAAACAAGCCTCCCTCCTTAACACCCACTGAAAAGGAGAGAGAAAGAGAGGCTAACAGTGAGGTTAAACTGAGTTAACCTTCAGGTGAGTGTGCTTAAGCGGTGCCATTCTGAGTCCTATTGTCAGCAAGGCCGGCGATCCAGAAGCCACCTCTCAAAGGAGCTGTGTAATAGGTTTGGGCAGCGTCCAACAGAGAGCAATGGACAGTGACAGAAAAACCGCTGACTCACTCTGCACAATGACAGTCTCAGCTGAGAGGAAAATGAAATGTAGGGAAGTGTGACAATATAAGACTGACAAATACTATGTGGCACTATGAAAGGAACAGGGCAGGGATTATTAGTGTGAAGCGTGTGTGTGTGTGTGTGTGTGTGTAAACCTGACCTGGTAGAGGAGGTAGAGGCTGCTTGTGAATATCGTTCTGGCTGGGCTGTCCATAGGGCTGTGGAGACATATCGCATTAGAGTGTTGACTTACATTTATTCACTAGTCGTGTTTCATTAATGAATGAATCTGTGTTTTTGAATAAATATTTAAGTTAATGAAAATCCCTTTTATACACTAAATCATGTTTATACACTTAATCATAGTTCTTGTTCACTGAAGTCTCTCTCTTTTGAAGACGATGAGCTCTAGTTTGAAATGCGTGACGGCTTTGGTGGCTTTTCAGCCTGTGAAGACTTACTGTAGCATCAGCTAATAGCATTTAATAGATTATATAAAATTATTTAAAAGGAAATAATAATAATAAATAATTGTATTTTTGTATACCTTAACAAAACTTGCGTAGCAGTCGTCATTTGTAATGAAAACGCTTATGATGCTTACATGATGTCTTCATAGATTTGTAAATACACAAAATTTAGATTTGTTTCGAAGAACGTTCTATTTACCGAATCAATTCAATGACTCAATGATTTACTCATAACACATAAAAGACACTCATTTGTTGCAATTTAATGGTCACTGAACAACAATTTATTTGTGCACAGGTTCAAAAGCCTCAAGATCAAATCAAACTAACTGACTAACACATGGTCGTAAAAATGTGTCTCACCAGCGTGGCTCCTGTACTGTGTCCAGGACGGTTTCTCATATCAACAAGGCCTCCAGGGGGAGGCTGTTTACCCGGGAAGTTATTGTAATATGGAACCTCTGGGGGTGGAGCCAAGTCCTCTTCCTCTTCCTCCCAGGCTGACCCATCGAAAGGAGCCATCCTAAGAGAGAGATAAGCATTATTATATTTACATGGGCATGCTGTTTGAGTGATGTTAAATGATGTATTGCTTTATTATGAAACCAGCAGTGAACAACCAGTATTAGGAACAACAAATAATAAAAAAACGCCAAAAAATATCTGAACTTTTTTGACATTTCTTTCTAGTCAAAATTTTTACAAATCCTTAAAACAACACACATCATTTATTGAGCAGTGTTATTTTAGTATTACATATACCATTACAGTATTTATTAATAATTTGAAAGCTTTCGAAATTTTTAGTTCATTTAAATTTTATTTTAGGTTTTAGTCATTTTTGTTTTTTAAATATTTCTATTAAGCATTCATTTAATTATTTCAGTTTTTAAGTTGAATTTTAGTTCCTCAACTTAAACTTATTTCAGATAGTTGTTAATGCAACATATCATTTTCATTTAAGCTTAAATATTGCACCTAATACTTATAGGCTTAGGGTCATAGTTAAATTAGGACATTTAAGTAGCTTTTATAACCGTGCCTTAAAAAAAACAGGACTGATGCACATCTTAAGACAAAACAATGGCACTGATATATTTTAAGATATGTCAGTGCAAGTTGCTTTCAGTTAAAACAGCTCAAACGTGCATTTTAGTCTAAACTGCTTACTAACTTACACAGATTGTCTATGAAACCGGGGATAGGCTATTTTATTTAATTTAATCTTTAATTAATGCAAATATTTTTAATAGTTTTAGCTTATAAATAGTTAGCAATATCAACACTTTTCTTGAGATACAACAATGCATACAATATTAATACTAGTTTCCATAGATAGTAGTATGTTGAAAATAAAGTACATTTGGTATATCTGGCAGAAAACTCATTTGTTGGGATGTTTCACAGTGTATGATGTGGGTAAGCAGTGCAAATAGACACATTGGCATTGAGTTTCAGCATACATAGTCAACAAGTCTATACCAACATATTTTTCAGGCTCTTAAGTGTATTTAAGACTCTTGTTTACATAGGGAATTACACACAGAAACAAAAGAGCAAAAGCTTGTGTTCGATAATCATGTTAGCGCTGTCAATGCATGGTGTAAACACACACAAGTATGATATTAAGGGGGTTTCTTATGACCCTAGGGAGGTACTATGATTAAATACATTTACATACACTCATGTAAATACACTGACATAAATGTAAATGTTTGCACTATTTGTTTGATCAGGCGCACACACACTCTTACCGATCATGAGGGGTAACCAGTTTGGGGGGGTTCTTCAGGTACTGTTTAAAGCGCAGTTCAAAAGCCTGACCTATGGTGCTGATGACCTCCTGAGCCAAGCCCTCTGAGCATTCCAGGATATGACATGCTACAAGGCAGGAAGTGATCATCAAACATTAGATATTGTAAATCAAGACATCATGTAGTCATTCCTTAAAGGTAGAGTTCACCCAAAAATTAAACATCATGTCATTCCAAATCTTTTGGGTAAACGATTTCTTTAATTAAAGCCCTAATAAATACTGCCACACAAAACAAAGTAATTCAGTATTTAACATCACTTCAAGTAAATTGTACATGAAAGCAGTAATTTACATTTCACTTAAGGATATGACAGAATTCAATTTGAAAGTGTTTTTACCTCTTTGATTGACGGGGTCTTTGGCGACATAGGCAACATACTCTGCTGTGTCCTGGGGAGAAATAAAAAAAAAGGGATGGAGAAGACGAAAAGAATGAACAGGAGAATAGAGAAAAATTAGAGAATAGACACACAGAACAAAGGGATAAGCAGAAGAAAGTAACCCTTAGTTGAAGCAGTCTATTCACTAAAGGGCAGGAAGCAGAAGAGGAAACAGTGGGAGAAAAAGAACAGATGACTACAGACAGCAAGACAGATGAATAAGACAAATGAGCGAGGAATGACAGAATGAGACTGAAGCTGATAGAGGCTCGAGATGAAAATGAGGAAATGAAATGTCGGGATGTATCAGATAACCGACTAAATGATTAAAGAAAGATGTAAATAATTTAAATTAACCATTAAATAATAATTGTAATAAAACTACTACTACTACTATTTAAAATACTAATTAATTAATTAAATTAATGTAATATTAATTTAAATTAAATATTTGATTTAAATCAATAATTAACTTAAATAATTATTCTTTTAAATTAATTCTAATTAAATTAAACATTTTCATTTAACATATATGAATATATATATAAATATTAGGGCTGTCAAATGATTAATCGTGATTAATCACATCCAAAATAAAAGTTTTTTTTACATAATATATGTGGGTGCACTGTGTATAATTATTTTATATATATAAATACACACACATGCTTGTATATATTTAAGAAATATTTTCATGTATATACTGTATATATAGATTTATATTTAATTTATATTATATATAAATATTTTATATATAAATATTTTTTTTCTTAAATATACATGCATGTGTGTGTATTTATATATATACAAAATAATTATACACAGTGCACCCACATATATTATGTAAAAAAAACTTTTATTTTGGATGTGATTAAAAGTTGGGGATTTTTTAGTTCCTCAGACCGTAGTTCCTATAACTCTTTCAGTACCTAGTCTAGAGCGAGGACTTTTTTAGTTCCCTTTCCCTAGGTCTACGTTGATTGGTTCAACTTATAAGTCACGCCCAGTGTCAACACATTTTATTCACTGTCTGTTGCAATTCGCCTATGTATGCTATGCTAACTCATAACATAACGCATTCAACCAGCTAATTGCTATGCTTGCTAAACTTACCCGTCGTTTTGTTTGTCTCCTGCGCTCTGCTCTTCTATCTTCTTCCATTATATTACTTAAGATCATATTACGCTGGAGCCTTCGTCTTCTTTGTTTCTCTGTACAGAACTCAAGCATAGTCTTTAAACGCCGCCGTTCATACTCGTTATTAAGCTCCCGGCAAGGCAGAACAGGAACATTCCGATAGCCTCCTCCATGCTGGTTTGTTGTTGTTGTATGTGGCGCCGCCGCCGCCGCCGCCGCCGTGCTTGCGTCACTCCCTTACCCCTCCTACCAGTTCCTATGGCCACTTGGCCAGTGCGAACGCAAACAGCAAAACCGAGTTTGGGGGAGAGTAGTTCTTAGAACTGTTTAGAAGTGGACAGTTCCTATAACTAAGTTCCTGTAACTACTTGGTCGGAAAGCGGCTAATGTTTCTTCCTGGTTTCCATGTCAGCACTGTTTGATCCGTTAATAACGGAGAAATGTGAATGTTTCTCACTAGATCTCGCAGCGATGTTACTACTTCACTGGCGAATTAAATTTTTTTCTTTACTGGATTTCGGTGTGTAGTAACAGTGCTGCTTGATTAAGATCGGCTCGCGCTGCATTGGTCCAAACTGATAAACGGTCCGTCAACCACACATTAACGAGTAGCTCAGTTTCGTTCCGATTACATTACATTTACCATTTGATGTTGCGCAATGTTGTGGTCACGACAGCGTCTCTTACATTATGAGTGCACTTGCCACGCGCGACGCGTCCTACATTTGAAATAACGAAATGTTGGTCGGCAGGAAAAATGGTCCAACGAACCGTTCGGTTTAAAAATGCGTACTGAAAACCGAACCGAAAGCCTCGTACCGAACGGTTCAATACGAATACGTGTATCGTTACACCCCTAATATATATATATATATATATATATATATATATATATATATATATATATATATATATATATATATATACACACACACTCACCTAAAGGATTATTAGGAACACCTGTTCAATTTCTCATTAATTATCTAATCAACCAATCACATGGCAGTTGCTTCAATGCATTTAGGGGTGTGGTCCTGGTCAAGACAATCTCCTGAACTCCAAACTGAATGTCAGAATGGGAAAGAAAGGTGATTTAAGCAATTTTGAGCGTGGCATGGTTGTTGGTGCCAGACGGGCCGGTCTGAGTATTTCACAATCTGCTCAGTTACTGGGATTTTCACGCACAACCATTTCTAGGGTTTACAAAGAATGGTGTGAAAAGGGAAAAACATCCAGTATGCGGCAGTCCTGTGGGCGAAAATGCCTTGTTGATGCTAGAGGTCAGAGGAGAATGGGCCGACTGATTCAAGCTGATAGAAGAGCAACTTTGACTGAAATAACCACTTGTTACAACCGAGGTATGCAGCAAAGCATTTGTGAAGCCACAACACGCACAACCTTGAGGCGGATGGGCTACAACAGCAGAAGACCCCACCGGGTACCACTCATCTCCACTACAAATAGGAAAACGAGGCTACAATTTGCAAGAGCTCACCAAAATTGGACAGTTGAAGACTGGAAAAATGTTGCCTGGTCTGATGAGTCTCGATTTCTGTTGAGACATTCAGATGGTAGAGTCAGAATTTGGCGTAAACAAAATGAGAACATGGATCCATCATGCCTTGTTACCACTGTGCAGGCTGGTGGTGGTGGTGTAATGGTGTGGGGGATGTTTTCTTGGCACACTTTAGGCCCCTTAGTGCCAATTGGGCATCGTTTAAATGCCACGGCCTACCTGAGCATTGTTTCTGACCATGTCCATCCCTTTATGGCCACCATGTACCCATCCTCTGATGGCTACTTCCAGCAAGATAATGCACCATGTCACAAAGCTCGAATCATTTCAAATTGGTTTCTTGAACATGACAATGATTTCACTGTACTAAAAGGGCCCCCACAGTCACCAGATCTCAACCCAATAGAGCATCTTTGGGATGTGGTGGAACGGGAGCTTCGTGCCCTGGATGTGCATCCCACAAATCTCCATCAACTGCAAGATGCTATCCTATCAATATGGGCCAACATTTCTAAAGAATGCTTTCAGCACCTTGTTGAATCAATGCCACGTAGAATTAAGGCAGTTCTGAAGGCGAAAGGGGGTCAAACACAGTATTAGTATGGTGTTCCTAATAATCCTTTAGGTGAGTGTATATATATAAATTAGTGCTGGGCAAGTTAACGCGTTATTATCGCGTTAACGCATTTATTAATTAATGCCGACAATTTTTTTATCGCGCGTTAACGCAGTTTTTTTTTTTTTATTATTATTTTGAAAGTCCGTTGCTCACTGGCTCTGAATACACATAGGCCTACAGTCAAACCATGATCACAGGAGGGGTGGGATGTTGGTCAGCCAGCAAATAACCCACCCAAACAAGCAGTGGAGAGGCTTTGGCAGGTTCTCTCAGGTGAACAGAAAGGGAGACAGCGCTCCGCGAGTGAATGACAGGCGCTCTATGGATAGTAACCATGGCAACGGCTTCTGTGCGCTACGCAGCTGTAGCCTTTTTAACTTAAATTAAAATTATACATAACTTTACCTGATAGGCCTGCGTTTAGTTTAGCGGGGGTGCTCTGCCATGTGAATTCCCTCCTGTTGATGTCCTGATAACTATTTAGATTCTGGAAACTCGCAAACAGCGAGCCGAGGATCAGTCTCTCTTCCAATGATTTGTGCTGCGCGTGACGCGTCGTGTACAAAAAGTTAGACAATTCAACTTCGGCAACGCGCGGGCGCGTGCGTGAGGCGAGTATGACCGCAACTATTTCACAGGAACGCACCCGCTTGTCGCTGCCACCTGTGCTCGACCACTTAACCTCACTCTAGGCTGATTTATACTTCTGCGTCGGACCTACGCCGGAGCCTCAACGCTATAGACTACGCGTTGGTTTTCATTTTTATATCTGCGTCGTTGTCCGCGTTGACGCGCAATTACACATGCAGAGGGAGAGTGTGAAACCCGGGGAGCGGTTCTAGCAATCACAGCGCTGAATTGACGTTCAATTTTTGGAGAGATGCACGTCAGGGTACGCGCGCTACACAGCTAAGGCGTGACTTCGACGCAGAAGTATAAATTGGCTTTACCTCTGTTTAATGTAATCTTACGTGGGAAACCATGGCATGCCATGACCAAACCTAAGCTGCTATCATAGGCGTTGGTCGACTTATATCTGTAGTAGTGATCATGACCCTTTGACTACATAGACTGTTTCTGCTGCTCCCTGATACAAGATACCTGTTCAGAAAAGAAAAAAAAAAAACAAGAAAACTGGACTCGTTTTAACAAGCTAGATAAAAGGTAATGCCCTGGCAGTGGCAAATAGCTTTGTTTAAATATTTGATTTGATTACATTAATGTTTAAGTTGAGATTTACAAGAAATATTTTATTGATACTGTGTAAAGGGAATACTGCTGGTATAAAAGCACCTTATTTGTTTAAAGTTTTTGCAAACCACATGTTATTGCACTTTTGTAGCAGTACATTTAAATCAAATGTGCGCAATACATTACTTTAGAATTCATTATTCAATTTTGCGCGTAACAATGCGATTAATCGCGATTAATTGCAAGAAAATCATGCGATTAATCGCGATTAAATTTTTTAATCGTTGCCCAGCACTAATATAAATAAAAATAAATAATCAAATCAAATAACAATGTATTCTAAAAAAAATTATACTTTATTATTCCATAAATAAACCAATTGAAAATAATTATAATTACTTATATATTACTTATAAAAACACATCCTTCATGCTGTACTACAATACACTTTCAAGGTCTTCGCAGTGAATGCAAGCGTTATTTAAAGAGAAATGCTCTAACAATGACCACATTGAGACATTTTATTTTTAAAAGCGATCCAAGGCCGCGTGTGTGTGTGTGTTGTGGACTCTGGCTTTGCATGGCCATCAGCTAGGCTAATTACTAAACGGATTTGTGCTGCAGTTGATTAAATCAACAACTGATTAGTTTAATCAATGAAATTAACAATGACAGTCATCGACTACTGATGAACATCCCTAGTAAAGACAGAAAGACAAGTAGAAAGATATCGAGAGACGGGGTCTGACTCACTGGATCTCCTCCTGATGCAAAAGAGATGGACTGCATGTGATGGTTGGCGATAATCTGTAGGGAGAGAGGGATGGAGAAGAGGACAATGTGACAAAAAAAGACAAAAAAAGTGCAGTGGGCATGAGATGAAGAATGAGCAAACATTGCAAGTGGCAGAGGACGAGTGAAAGCAAAGGATGGACAGACAAGGGGAGAAATGATGTGGTGAGACTGCGGTCCAACATAGAGGAACAGAGCAGTTGTGTGCAGTAATTCTGCATGGTTTAGATTCATTAAGATAAACACATATCAGCAGGGCAATTACTCCAGGCCCTATTCTGGGCTCCAGTCAGCTGCCTGCTGAGCAGCCCGAACGCTGATAAACCTCACTGCGCTAATGCCAAACACACTGGCGTATAACTGAAGAATTATTAGCGAGGAAAAGAAAGTCCTGTGGTGCAGCTGTAAACAAGCCAGAGGATATCTGCTCCTGCCGAATACGCCAACTTTACATAATCTATAGGGCCTCCGGGTACCACACTTATTTAGTTAAACGTCGACAAATATATGAAGATTAGCCCCTTGGAAGACCTAATGCAGAATACTTCTAACTATTTCTACTTTTAGATACACTAAATAAATAAAAATAAAATAAATAATTACATTAAAAAAAAAGGAAAAATAAAAAATAATATATATATATAGTAGTTTTGACATGTGCTTTTTTGAATATTATTTACTAGGTTTAATTCATTTTTTATTTCAGCTTTAGTTCTTATTTATTTCCAGTTAGTAATTTTAGTGCTTTAAACTGATTTCAGTCAGTTGCCAAGGCAAGATTTTAAAAATCTAATTTAGTCTACATGTTTCATCTAATACTTACATTTAATTTCAATCAACAAAATGTTTTAACACTTCAGGCCAGGCAAGAATAGGGCTGCATGATTAATCGCTAAAAGATCGCGATCTTGATTCAAACACCCACGTGATCTTATCACTAAATGTCAACGATTCGCCTATGTCTATCAATCCTTTTATGATCACAGCGAACATTCAGATCTGTGTTGGCCCTGTTGCTGACCCGGAGAGAGCAGTTGTCATGTATAGTTATCAAACAGTTTCAACCACACAGTATCATCATTTCTGTAAAAGTTTATAGTTAGGATATAGAGATCAAAATAGACTAATCACCTTTTGAAAGCAATTTGACGCCTCAAAAAATGATTGTATCAAATACATTGTTACGCCAATAGGTGCCGAAAAGTGACTGTCAAAAATATGAACGTCATTGAATCAATCAAGAGATTCGTTCAAAAATGCTGATTCATCCAGTAATGAAACAAGTGAAGTCTTTATGAATGAGTCATTGAATCATTCAAATTTAAAAAAATATATTTCAAAATTAATTTAACTTTTTTATATATATAGTCTGCAGCAATAAAATTTTTGTCAGAACCTCTAGTAAATTACGTTTTTTGTTTAGTTGACTACTCAGAATCATGGGAGAACTGTCATCTCTATTTTTAGCCACAAAATCGTGATTCTCAATTTAGCCAGAATTGTGTAGCTCTAGGCGAGACAAATCATTTTGTTGCAAGTGGTCACAGAAGACACATTTGAGACACGTGCCACTGCGCGTTGATAAAGTGCAAAAAGTAAAATGTTCATAAAACAAAAATAATAATTACTCCACATTCTTGGATTTCTCTTTTCAATCCACACAGAAAAATCTCATTTAAAACCTGTATTTTAGCGCAACGGATGATTGACAAGTTTGTTTGCTTTCTTAGGTTATTTAGCACTCACAATTTGCGATCAGAGCCAAACTAGTGTTTCAAGGAAATCAACCTACTTGAATGGCTTGCTTATAGCTGTCTCTGCACATACTAGCACAACCAGGATATGAGAAAGTATTTTAACATCGCAAAAAGAACATTTATATTCGGAAGAGATAGCATAATTCAATCCAACCCGTCCTGCTGTGAAGACCGTCTACATGACGCAGGCTGCTTTTATCATTAGATGAGGGTAACAGTGAATCTCATATAGGAAAGAAGGCACCATATTAATGTCTGTGTGCATGTGTGACGTCTAACCTGTTTGCAGTCGGCTGCCAGTAGGTTCAGACTGCTGGTCGACACGGTGAGGTTGATTGTCATTCCAGCAAACTGGAGATTACTCTTCCCTAAGATGGAGGAGAGACAACGAGAGGAGGGCTGGAGAGAGACAGAAACACACTTCATTATTTACACCACTCAACAGATAAAAAAAGTTCAGCTAAAAATTTAATGACAAAAATGATGAAAACTAAATATTTTATGAAACGAGATTTTAATGGGAAACATAGTTTGGTCTGTCTAAGGCCTGTTTTAACTCACACAGTTCTTTTAAAGAAATTAATACTTTTATTCAGCAATTGTGCATTAAATTAATCAAAAGTGACGAAGACATTTATAATGTTTCTATTTCAAATAAATACTGTTTCTTTGAACTTTCTATTTTTTGAAAGTTATCATTGTTTCCACCGAAATATTAAGCAGCAAAAAAAGAAATGTTTCTTGAGAATCACATTAGCATATTAGAAACATTTCTGAGGGATCATGTGACACTGAAGACCGGAGAAATGAATGATAAAAATGGTAGTTTTGCAATCACAAGTATAAATTGCATTCTAAAACATATTAAAATAGAAAATATTTTAAGGGTAATATTTCACAATATTGCAGTTTTTACTGTATTTTTGATGCCTTATATAAATAAATGCAACTACAAATGCAGATAAAAATGCAATCTTTTGTAATATAGGCTTTACAAAAAGAAATGAGAAATACGAGAATGAACTAGTTCCGCATGCAGTAACAGACACTATTCAGTAAATCTGCCGGAATCCAGAAGATTTAAGACGTTTAAAACTACACTTTGGGGTTTAGTTTCAGTTTTGGGTAAATGAACTACCATTTGGATATGAATACGAACCTCTTCCTCATGTAAATTAAATTTCATGATGATAATGTCTGGTTTAGACTTTGAGTGGCATACAACTGATAACCATTTGAAATGAACAGCTGTTATTAAAGTGAAAAAATAAATAAATAAATGTGATAACCCAGAAATCACTTTATTTTCTGTACAGAGCTGCAGTAGAACACAACACAAGCCGTCTGCTACAGTTACGCTGCTGCTCCGCTTTCACACTACTTATGTTTATGTTTTATTAAACAAGCCTGTCTTGATCATTACCCTTGAACACAACCCTATTACACAACTTGATCACAACCCTGTAAGCAAATTGTGGTGTAGCACTCAACCTCTGAAATACCACAGTCTGACCAGCCTAGAGACAACACTTGAACAAACGTGTGTGTGTGTTTGTTGAACATAACACAGTAGCATTTTTACTGGAAACTGGTTAGGCCGTAGAACACTATGAGGTTTGTGAGCTGTAACTGTAACTAACAAAAGTGTGAATATATTTCAAGGCTGAAAGTCTGTGTCTGAGGAAGTAAGATAAGATAAAGTGTTGAATACCTTTCTCCTTCGCTGAGCTCCTTTGGCACCTGGTACTGCCTCACACACCACTGATATTGCCTCCCTGAAATACAAAACATACGGTTATAAACATATACACACACACACACACACACACACACACTGGCTACATATAGTGAGGAGAACATAATCAGATTGTTAGATGAGAGTTTCCATCACACTCCTTTTCATGCATTCCCAAATTTCATATGGCTGAGGGACAATTACATTAGACAAATGGTCCAGTCATTCCACTTCCTGTCATCTCACACATGCAAGCTGGCAGACATGCAAACAAATACACCAATGTTCTTGTTCACTTATTAATATTTACTTATTATTAATATCGCTATTGTCAACAAAAACTATAACGAAGATGAAAACTATTAGTAGTAAATAAATAAATAAATAATAAAAACTTAAAATAAAAATGTAAACATCGAAATATATGAAAACCAAACTGAAGTTATAAATATTCACTAAAATATGAATAAAAACAACAAAATAATTTAGTTACTTATTAAAAACGTCAGTTTTAAAAAAGAAACATTAATTTATTTATTTTACTCACAAATTGAAAAACCCTATTATAAAACCCCATAGGAAAATCTTGAAATTGGTTTATAAGCGCTTCTTATTAGAAAGTAAGGGAAGACGGTAATGAGTTGATAATCCAAATGCATTTTATAATCGTGAACACAGTGCTGTGCTTTACTCTGAAATACGGACGACACATATTTATTTGATTAAATTGCAGCCTTGTGATGACTAAAGTGCAGCATTTAAAATGAATGCTATTAGTTTTTACCGTAAAAAAAAAAAAAAAAGCATTTAGAATTTTTTTTATAGATTTATTATAGGGATGCACGATATATATCGGCCACCATATCAGTATCGGCCAATATAAGTTCATTTTTAATGTTATTGTAATTGATCCAATAAGAAAATTTGGCCGATATATTAAAGCTGATAAATAATGGATTATTTCCTTCAGCTGAGACACTTCAGATGTGCACTGTTCGCCATGGTTTTGAATTGCTTGAAATATGATTGAAAATCCCTTCAAAAAGGAAAATACAGTCAAGTGCAAAATATGCAGCGCAAGTCTGTCATATAGGCTACATAACTACAAATAAAACTAATACAACCAAGTGAAAATTATAATTAAAATATGAAATAAATAAATAAAAATGAGTTACTTCGTCCAAAATACAATAACTCAATACACACCCTCTTAATGCTTTTTTCTTGAATGCGTTTCACCCTCCAGTGAGAATCGAGGATTATGCATGAAAAGTTTATCGAGCAGCTGCTACTGTCAATATTGAGAAGCAAATGTGTGTAACATCCATTAACAAACACACACGTCAACACTGAGAAAAGGGAGGAAACTGAGGGTTCCAGAGGATTCTATTAAAAGACTTTGTGGTTACACAGCAGGGCTGCTGCTATTATAATGCCTCCCTTCTTCCCTGATCTCTTTCTCCCAAACAAAAGCACAACATTTAATTGTAGAATGTGTTGCATGTTGCAATGTGGACTAGCAAATAATGTGGTTTAATACGGCAAATGTTTTGCAGCCTCTTAGTCCTACAGATAACAACTATTAAAAACACTTTCATGACACTCCATATGTGTACCCATATACATACAGATTATTCAAAGAAGTGTGAGAACGGAAGAAACCGAATTGTTGTGAGAATAAGAAAATGGCTGTGTATGTCATTATTTAACATTCATCTCCTGCGTTCTCTTTCTGTCACACTCTTTGAGAGAGGGACATTAATTTTTCATCAGAGGGGCGGCTTTCATCCGGACCAGTGCGAGAGAGTGTATGTTCGTGCACATGTGCATTAGGATATGAGGAGAATGTACGACTAAATCACTCCTGTGGGACGCCGTGGATATACTTACACTGGATATTTGAGAGAATATGAGAGGAAGTGCAAGGTGACAGTCATTATGTGTGTATGTGTGTGTGTGTGTGTGTGTGTTACCTGGTAACCTGAGTTCTGGTATTGAAGTCCAGTGCTCTCATTGACTGCAGCACCTCCACGCAGCCCATATACTGCAGCAAAGACAAAGAAGACAAAACCTTCACTAAATGCACTTACTGTGCAATACCTCCAACCACAATTCAAAGCACAGACAGAATACAGTTGAGTGTTGCCCAGTTGCCTTGTGTCTAGATTATTGACTTGGCAACACATCTGTACTGCATGTGGTTAAGTGAGTGTGTGTGTGTGTGTGTGCAGTTTATGAGAACTGATGCTCTAATTATGAAGCACTAATCAAATAAAGAAGTTCTCAATGTAGTTCCTGCCCATAGACTTGGATTCATCTAAAAATGCCACACATTAAAGAAAACAATACATTAAGCATATTAAACAGACTGTTTCACTGAGAAAATTAAAAAGCAAAAGAACTACAAGCTGTTAACCAACCTTTGTCAAAATTAGGGTTGCATTATAAAAAAAAAAACATTGCTGTTTAGACATCAAGGCAAAATATTAATAATAATAATTTATTTCCACAGAGAAATTGCAAAAACTACAATCTTAAAGACAATGCCCTTTGTCTTCAAATTAATGTTTTGCCCAAACTCTTCAAAGATATTTACATTTCTGTATGATCATTAAAAGAACCAAGTTAGGCTTCTTTCTTTGACCAAAAAGTTTACAATATAAGTGTTAAGTAAATACAAATTATTTCACTTTATTTTTTCGAAAGTCCACTTTACATTCCTATTTGTTTTAATAAATTAATATTGTTGTTGTTCTTATTATTATTATTATTAGGAGGAGGAATTGATTTTAACAGTACAATAGTAATAGTATAACAATATGAGATAATTACAGCATAAATTAGACATAAAAAGAAAATATAACCTCTGATGTTCTGGGCTGTGTCTGAAATCGCCCTCTAAAGCCCCGTTCACACTACACGCGACCAAGCGACGCGATACCATTCATTTCAATGGTGAGTGGGCGACTTCCGGCGACACGCGCGACAGCGACCGTTGGCGACCAGATGGGGCATGTCTGGCGACGCGACAAAGTTGAGATCTGTTTAACTTTATGCAAATGGAGAGCGACTTTCGGGAGCGACAACCAATAGGAGCGGAGCGCGTATGATCCTTCTCCACATCATTGGATGTCATTCATAAAGGCAACCAGTAGTGGGAACTCCCACTAGCGACCTCATCGCCAGCCACTGGCGACATGCAGCGACAAAGTCACTTGTAGTGTGAACGGGGCTTAACACTGTCTTTGATAGCCTGCTTCCATGATTACTTACATATTACTTACATATGACTTACGTGCTGTGTGCAATCTTTGTTTGGACAGCTGTTTGGGGCTGTGACCAGTTCACACTTAAATCAAACTTTAATCAAAATGAAGCACTTCCAGTGTAAATGTAGCCTATGATATCCTGTACCCCAGATGTGACTCAAGTCTCTTGTTAAGTGTAAGTCTATGAGATTTCTTTGTCCGTTTCATAATCAACCACTTGCGACCCTACACCACTCCTCAAGTTGCTTTTGAGGTAAACATTGTGTCTGTAGCACAAACAGTTTGTTATGAATTATACGGCAAAGATTAATACTTAAGTTTAGGAGTTTGTTCTAGCATATTCACCACTAATTAAATCAATAGAAAAAGGGAAAAAAGGGAAACCCAACCCAACCCAAGACCCATACATGCATCTTACCCTGACAGAGTAAGAGACCCCACTGGTGCTGACCACATTGTCCGAGTGCAGCCAACCTCGGGTGGGCTTGTTGACAAAGGAGCCGTGCCGTGTCCACTCGTCTCCGCCGAGCTGGCCCCCTTCCACACGGGCCCTCCGCGAGGCCCCGCCCAGCCGGTTCATATCCTGTGGGGGACGAGGAGGAGGAGATGGGGCTGTTAGAGAAAGGAGAGGAAGAGGAGGAGGAAGAGAAGAGCTGGCGGCGGAGGTCCTAGTGTCTTCCTGAAACTCTCTCAAACCTCCCTGACCACCTGGCATGCTCGCCAGCTTGCTGGAGGCCTTCAGGCCTGGGAGCAGAGTGGAAGACACGCCCAGCCGCAGGGCTCCCATCTTGGGGAAGAAGGAGCAGAGGGTGGTGGGGCTGTTCTCAGCCTGCCGTGGAGACGAAGGAGGGAGGATGGGGGTGAGGGAGGACGAGGAGAGAGAAGGAGGGATGCCAGGAGGGGTGAGAGGAGTGAGAGGAGCAGAAGAAGGGAGGGAGGGATTGGACACCGTCTCGTCTGTTGAGCTGAAGGAGTCGCTCCTGAAGGGCGTGTATTTGGTTTTGGGGACGAGCTCCATGATGTCTCAGCCGTCTCAGTGTCCACTAAGCGTCTTTAAATGTCTTTCTACGTTGCTCTATTACAATCAATAACTTGTCTTCCCTTGTCTTTTATAGTCCTCTTTTTCTCGGCATCCACTGATTCCTTCATCATCGCACCAGAGAGATGACAGTGCGCTGACTGTTTAGTCCGGGAAGTATCAAAAACAGGATGTGAAAAGTAAAGTTTTCTGCTGTTGTCATACACAGCATGTAGAAGGTTTTGCATCAGATCTCAAGTCTGCATAGAGCTTCTTAGGACATTATGAATCACTAAATATAGTATGATTGTCATGAAGTTATTGGTATATTTATAAAAGTGTCGTAGACACAATCCATCTCAAAAGATGTTGTGTTTTATATGCATGCAATTGTGTTTATGTGTGTGTTCATTGTCTTTGCATGTGCTGGGCTCCACTTTACAAGCTCTTGTCTGACAGAGTCCCATAAAAAGCCTATTAGCTGCAGCTGAGACTTTGAGAGAGGAGGCTTCCGTCAGACAGACGGATCGATAGAGTGAGAGGAAGAGAGCGGGAAGAGATGGATGGAAAATGCTAAAGTACTGATCCAGCGAATGTGGATCATTTAATGATGATTCAAACTGCTTCGCTCACTGACGATTAGACCGGCACCGATCAACATAATCCTCTTTGTTTGGTTTAAAGACTTAATTTAGTCCAGGTGTTAAAAAGATGTACACTAGGGATCTTCTACAGCGGGTCCGTGACTACAGTAACTAAGCGGACGTCCGCTAACTATAGTGTGATTTGAAACAATCCTATTTTAGTGGGGGGAAAAAATGCAAATATGCATACAATATTAAGCTAAAGTGCAGTTAAATGTTTCATTTTTCTTTCAACATTAAAATGTATTAAGTAAATCTATAAAGTACTATACAAGTTGATTTACTCTGTACCTTAATAGTGATGATTTTTATGGGTTTCAATAAACAAGGTATATTAATATGAAACTATACACGTTATTATAGGCCAGGCTTAAATTAAACACTTAATTCCGTACAATAATAGAGGGCCTAAAAAGTTTGAAGACCCCTGATGTGTGCTATACAACACCTAGATTACAGGAAGTCTGAGTACATGCAGGTTTACTTATACCGCAAGTCTAACTCTGCCACCTCACTTCCTGTCACATCTAAGAACGCTTAGCGCTGACACATACCCATCTTTTCCCGTCACTCCCTTTCCCTCCTCCTCCAGATGATTTTGGGACCTCTGTCGCCAAGCCGAGCTCTATCCTTATCTTTCTCCTCCTCTTCCTCTCGTTTTTTCCAGATCACCTCAGGCTGCTCTGCTTTTGCGCCCTCTGCACTCGTCTCTTTGAGTCTATCCTCCTCTCTATCCTTCCTCTCCTGGAATCCCTCCCTCAGCCTCCACACCGTGTATTGCACAGCGTTCCTCCTCTCCTCCTCCAGCTTCTGCCTCTCCAGCTCTCTCTCCCTCTCCAACACACTCGCTCTCTTCTTCCAGATAATCTCTCTCTCCTCCACGCCCCCTCCCTCGTCTTCTTTCCCGTTCTCCAGGCTGTCCTGCTACTCCTTTTTGCCTTAAAAAAAACACCTGCGCCTCTTTGTAATCTTGCAATAATTCACTGAATCGACAAACAAATGTTATATTATACCCAGATAATTAACCCTGATAAACAACAATTTGTAGAAATATGATTTAGAAAAGGACAAACTAGACTTGGAAAGCCCTGAAACGGTTAAGTCAAAGATAAATATGGCTGTATAGAAGACAACATGGGTTCGAGCACCATTTAGAGAACCACTGATTGTTTGGTGTGATCTGTGAAGAAGTTAAAGTGTGGCAATCCAGCTGCAAGGAAACTATGATGTTCCTAAAACAAGCACGTTCCAGCACTGTCAGGGTGATGATAATGAGACCTGATTGGCCAAATCTGAAGTACCGCCTCCAGAGATATGCTCATTAGATGCTAACTGGAAAATCAATCAGTCGCTCATTAGCCTAAATGACACCTTAAAATCAGGCAAACAGTGTTAGATGGAGCAGCTCTTTATAGATCTGTTTCCTGAGTGAAAACCTACCCTCTAAATGTCACTTAGCAAAGTCAAACACCCAATTTAACCGCACCAATGCACTTCCCCAGTGTAAAGCACTTTAAAAACCTCTGATAGAGAGGTAACAGTCTTGTAACCTCCTACAGGTCTGAGCTAACACACCAGGGTAACTCTAAAACTCACAAATGATTAGCATTTGTAGACCATTAACAGTTTCTACTGTTGCTAAGAACACCAGTTTGTAGCAAAGTCCAGCCGACTTTGGTCAAATCCAGTCTTGCTCTTTTTACAACGGTTTTTACTGCTGCATATATTTTACATAAGCTACCACAAAACAATTTGAACTTCTATTGTCGTGGCTTACTTTGTCCGTTAAGGTGTTTTTTATTTTTTGTCTTTTTAGCACCAGTGTGTGACCACAAAGAAGCCTCAGGGCTGCAAAGGGAAAAGCGTGTCTTGCCTCGGATGTGCATGAACAAATGCAACACTTTTCAAGTTGTTCCAACAGATGTGACTGGAAGTCAAAGACAACAAGGCGGTCCCTATTATCTCAGCTGAAGTACAACAAGACCAGAGGGACCCGGGGGATTTATGTGCACTGCACTGCAATTCATCTACAAAGCATCATGTTAGTGGTGCTATTGGGCCATTCTTGCAGTGAAATTTCTCAGAGCACCTGTAAAGAGAACCGCTCGGACCCGATTGACAAAGCACAATAAGTTATGTGCCAGTGCTGCAAGTTCGTAAACTGTATCACAACGAAATGGCACAGAATCAGTACTTTAGCACTGCAGAGCTCACTGTCTCTTTTTTTTTTGTGCACTTACACAGAAGTGTCCAAGCTGTATTTAAGAGTTGCTCATCGTGTCATGAACTTTATTGACGTCAACACAACATGGCACAGAAGTAGCACAGTGTTTAGGAGAACCTGTACAGAGCAGTAGAAATCAAGCTGACTATATATATATAAACATTTAAATAATATCAGTAACAGTTTAACACACAATGGTAACCTAGCATAGGTGTAGCACCTGTCGGTTAGGAATATGGCAAAATCCCTGTTTTGATATGACGAGTTGTTTCAGAATCCAGTAAAATCAAACACTGGCTGAACTGTATCTAAAGGTTGAGAGGTTCCTGTTCATCTGAAGTAAAACCAAAGGCAAGTAAACCAGCCACATAGAGAGACTATTGTCAATCACAGATGTACAGTAGCTAACAGACTAGCTTCCTTGTCTTTAAGACATTATGATTATTTGAGCAAAACGGTTAATCTCAAAGGTAAATCGGATGTTGAATTAGTGCAGTTGAGCTCCAGCACAGATGGCAAAACCTGAGTTAAACTACACCATTTTCAATTAACATTTTCAAATTATAACATCATAGTTCAATGATATTGATGGTCAGTGAAAAAAGCCAATGTTAGATATGGCAAATCGGATTTAGAGATCGACTGAATGAACAAAAAGTATCAGAGAAAGCACCTTGAACCCTCATAAGGTCCGAAGGTTCGACTCTTTGACTCTAACACTGACGAGATTGAACTTAAAGTCCGATTTAAAGCGTAACTTGGGACACTGCAACACACTTGCACTGAAGTTACACAAGACAAAGCGTGAGAACTTAACATGCCAATAAAACTGTTGCCATGGTAACAGACTGAGGAAAAAGTGTGCGAGACCGAGTCATAAAAGAACCCAAACAAAAGCCAACAAGTTTCGCCAACACAAAACCTGTCGACTCTCTCCGTGTCCAATCACGAGAGCTCAGAGCCAGCGAGAATCGCTGGCACAGGACGGGAAAGTTCAGCTGCTGCCGCCACCAACAACACCTCACTGGTGATTGGTGTTGACACCAGAACGTAAAATGAACCAGACACACATCCGAACATGCACAGAGTGCAGTTGTGGCACCAGTCCAATGAGGAAATCAAATATTACTCAAGAGTACACACACACTTAAGACAGACTCGTGCACGCTTCCGGGTTAAAGACAGCACAACTAGCAAACACTAAAAAGTCCTCCTGAAATCTATGAAATATCTATCTATATATTCAAAAGCACCTTTTTTATACACTACAAATAAAGACATCTAAATGTTTTGCATTAAAAAAAACCTGATTTTTGTCTGCATATCTCTTAAGTAACACCAAAAACATTGGTTTAATAACAGACAGCACTATGTACATTAGAAATATAAGAGTTTGTGAGCTGCCATCCAAAAAAGTCAAAGTGAAAGAATTTAAGGAGCTTTAAAGAGCTTTTTTTGTCCTCACGGTTTAGTTGTTGCAGAATGAAAAAGTAATATTTTATCCCCCAAGTCCTTGGATTATAAAAAGAGAGTGAGAGTGCCACATTTTAGGTAAAACTGAATGACCTCCATGTTCAAATCATAATCACGTTAATATTTAAACAGTGTCACACAATCCTCCTCCTTCTCCTCTTTCTCCCTCACTCGCTTTCTGTCTCAGTCCCCTCCCTGAAAGACAAAAACACGCTCTTTTCTCAAATCCGTTTTCTTGGGTTCTCTTCAAAATCACAAAGTCACGCCAGTTCCCTCGTTTAGAGTGAGTCTCGTCCAGCCTCACTTCTGTGGAACGTCGTGATGAATGGCACAGCGGTCTTCTTTTGTCCTCTCCTTCCCCCACAGTCTCTCATCCTCTCCTCTCTCCACCTCCGTCTGTGTGTGAGGAGCGATGCAGCCGACTGTCCTCTATTCTCCTCTCCTCCCTGTCTGGTCTATCGCTCTCACTCTCTCTCTCTCTCTCTCACTGATGCTAGCGCTGATTCCCTTTGCACTCCTGCCCCCTCCCTCCCTCCCTCCCTCTCTCTCCTTGGCAGCATCAGTCATCTATGCATTTATGAGAGTGTGCATGCATGCACAAGCAGCCGAGCACCTCTCTCTCTAATGCACACAATTATCATGGGGGCTGAGAGAGAGAGAGAGAGAGAGAGAGAGAGAGGGGCTGAGAGAGAGAGAGGGGCTGAGAGAGAGAGAGGGGCTGAGAGAGAGAGAGAGAGAGAGAGAGAGAGAGAGAGAGAGAGAGAGAGAGAGAGAGAGAGAGAGAGAGAGAGAGAGAGAGAGAGAGAGAGAGAGAATATTCACGGATGGAGGG